ACAGAAGAAATAACTTTATCTATTTTACTGATCTTTCACTAAATTCTCGAGATAAAAACAAGGAATAAATATGTTCTGTCACTTAAGTTGAAGATGTGGGTATCATCTGCTCGTCAGACGCGCACCCACAATAACACCCTACATACTTAAGTGAAGTCTCTTTTTAGAACCAATTTTTAATCCTAAATAAATGATTTTTGTATTTTTTTCTAGCTTTTCCCTTTTCAATGGAAACTTAGAAATTCTATCTACAAATAAAAGCACAACACATAGCAGCTTTTTTTGTGACAAAACTCAAGTAAATATTCCGATGCGGCTTATCACCTGAAATTCGTAAATTTATCTCATACTACATTGTGAGAAGCTAGCTTATGATAAAAAATCAACTTCAACTGAGCTTCACCCAATTTCATAAAGTTCCACCCATCCCCCTGCTGAAATATCACCAGACAGCAATTCCCTATGATTCTCGTCCTTATTGTAGAGAACTTCTAAAATATTTTGAAACGTACTCGCGTGCATGAATAATCTCAAAACAACATAAATAAGTGAATGTCTTAATGGTTCTTATCCTACCTTCTGAAAGGTGATAATATCTTTTCTTAATAACCTAATATTACAACATATCATATGGATAAGTTCGAGTAATGAGCATATTGCATAATGGCCAGTCTACTTCTTCTATCACGTGTTTTCATTTGAAAATTTTTATAATATGAATCTCATTGATATCTTTTGTTCTTATAATTTCTTAAAAATATAATTTATACCAATGAATATCGCTGGATCTCATGGGATCCCAATAGGTCCCAACGGGTCTCATTGGATCCTCGGATTAGGGGTGGACCGTTGATGCTAATTTGAGTTAATTAAGTAGTTTTATTTAACACTTAATATTAATAAAAAAATTTTTACATTACCCACTTAATTACTTAGTATTAAGTATTAAGTCTTAACGTAACATTTAATTTTTAAAAATTAAGTATCACTTAGCACTTAATATTAAGAAAAAAATATGTATATTAGTTACTTAATTACTTAATATTAAGTCTTGATTTAATACTTAATATTAAGTAAACAAGTGGCTAATGTAAACGTTTTTTGTGTACTGAAAAAAACCGAGCACACTAAAGAATCCGTCAGTGTGTCCGGCCGTCCGTTTATTCGATAGCTCTTCACAATTACATTCGATGGAGCTGAAATTTTGTGCACAGATTTGTCTCATCAATATCTCGATCGAGTTCGAAGATGAGAAGGATCCGTCAAGAAATGGCTGAGTTATCGACAAATTTCTCATTTTTGACCAGACCATCCCTGAGGGGGAATACAGGGATTTCGTCAAACAAAATATTTTTCTCCGAATTATCCACAACATATATAAATCGACTCAGTTTTTAACGCTGATTCCGAATCTGATATTAGTTTTGAACTAAATCGTAGTTTTCTAACGAAACATTGCCTGAAAAAGTCTGAAATGCACAAAAACTGCATCCAGAAATCAAATTGCCTAGTTTCTCATAATAATT